GGGCTTTGCTCACCAGCTTCTGTTGGCTGTCAGGCTAGGAAGCACTCATTCAAGCAGCTCTGCTGGCAATGCTGAAGAGATGAAAGTGTCCAGAACAGATGGAGGATGAGCTCTCCCATCAATAGCATTTGCTTTGGGTTTGCATTGCCCCAAGCTCAAAACATGGAGCTGAGCTGGTTTGCTGTATCTGCTGCCCAACACCATGCTGGGCTTTGAGGGGAAACTGCCACAGGTACCAGACTCCTTCTAGCCTTGATAGAAGAAACCCAAGCAGGGTGATAGAGGCCTGCCAATAACCCTATCAAACTATTCTGGGACCCAGAGTAATCCCTGATAAAAACTAGATAAGCAGGTCACTTCTCAGGCTGACTCAGAAAGCTGCACGCTACCTCCAGTCTTTGGGTTACTTTCCCATCCAGGGCATCTGTTCCAGACCTGTGGCACCATCCCCTGCCTTCTTTATATTCAGAGGGATAAACAGCTGCATGGCTTACTCCCACTCTGCTTGCAGTGACTGAAGGAGGAAAGCTACATTTCCCTAAGGAATGTGAAAGTCACAATGACACAAACATGCTCATGGTACTGTGCAAGGTGACACACAAGGAGTAAGGCTCTCCTGTACTTATATCCCTTACCTTTCAGTAATTAATAAGTCCCATGCAGCAGCTGATCTTTCTTTAATTTAGAGGCAGCAGTTTATATAAGCTGTGTGCTTATTTCACACCAGACACATTGTGATCTTTACATCTGCAGGGACAGTTGATGTTTGGCAAGGCAGAATGGATTTATGAGGTTGTAAAAAAAATATGGGTGATCCTTTTTAACCAGTGCTCTATTTTGCTTGCTTATGTCAGCTTCTCACTCACACTGAAGCTAATCAGAGCATAACCTCCAGCAGATGAGACCTACAGCTCTGGCAGAGCCTGAAAGCTTGGGTGCAAAGCCTGCCCAGCTGGCAGTCTTGCATTTATGATCTAAAGCCACACATCCTTTTCTGGCAGAACCTATTTAAATGGGGACTAAGCCATAGACATGTGTCTGATTCCTGACAACAGAACACCACCAGAAGAGCATGCATCAGTGCTGGCAGCAACTGTTTGCAATACTGTTTCATTCTAATTAGACTTTTGGATTCCCTATGACTGATTCAAAAAAGGTGTATTTGAAAGACTGAACAAAGGCCTCTTCCCACCTTTTGCTTTATAAGGGCTGAAAATAACACACATTTCCCACCTAAGAAAACAGTATGTATTTTCTCCCATACATATTCCCCCATAAGATAAAGGAAACTGAAACTGTGTGAACTCTGAAATCTGACAGGTATAGAAAAATATCTATATCTGCTTTCAATGAACAGCTTTAGAATAAGGAGCTGGAGGGAAAGGGGGAAACACTTTTCACCATAGTCTTTACAGATGAGTACAGCAGCAGGGACCTGCGTGAGGACATGCTTGTCTCTACTGTCCCCAGGCTCAGGGAATGGTTTACTGATTAAATTGAAACAGTTAACATCTGCAGTCCATCAGGGAGCAGACTGCAGCATAAAGTACTTTACAGAGAATGAGAAAATGGCATTAAACCCCCCTACAAACACCTGAATTGGAAAAAAAAAAAAAAACCAGGAGGGTTTGCTTTCACCTTTAACAGCCTGATAATATCTGGTGATTGCTTTTTGCAGAGGAAAGCTTCCCTGGTTGAAACCCATGTGTGCAATCACCATGGGCTTGCTCTAGAGCTTTCCCTTATTGAAAACCATGGTTGGAAATTTCATTGTTTAAGTGCTTAAAATATCCTAGCAAATGTTTGTAGGTTGTGCCATGATAACTTTTCTTTGGTGGCAGTGCCAACTGAAGAGGCCCTCACTATTTCTGGGGAGCTTCCTTAGCTAAGGGAAATGGAGAAGTAACCTTCCCCTCCATGGAGTGGCAGCTCCCCGCCTTCCTGCATGGGGTCCCTCACAGCACAAGGGCAGCAGTCCCTACGGTGACAGAAGCACCAGCAGGGACTGTGCTGCCACTGGAAGACACAGGGATCAAACCATGCCCTCACCTTGCTGGCCAGGCTCAATGTCACTAAACATCAAGCCCATAGCAAGATGGGGTGAGTTGCACTTAGGACTTTCTCCTTGAGCAGAATGAGCTAAAAACCTCAATTGTGGCACTTCACATGAAATCAAGATTTCATGTATATGATGGAAGGCAGCATAGAAAGACCTCACAACAATGTGTTTAATCTGTGAGATTTCTCATTGCACCTGATAGCAGCCACCACTGCCTGCTCATTAGAGCCCTCAAAGGATTGGCTTTCCTGGCTGCACATACTCACCACCTGCCCGTATGGCCTGTGACAGGCTGTGATATATTGTCACGGGACAAGAGGCCACAGATCCATCTGAAAGAGCTGTCAACATTTTAAACCTCAAATATAGAGCCAAAATGATTTATTACCACAACCCATGAAATAAAACAATCTCTTGAGGTGAGTGTCTGGGCAGCCAGTAATAACTCTGAGTTTATTAAGAGACAGGCAAAAGAGGAAAAAGAAGCAGAGGTGAAATGAATTTCCATCTCCAGCTCAGCTTCTGTACTTGAACAAGTACACCCAGTGACTACACACAACAGCCATGAGTTACGGAAGAAGTGTTACATGTGAGCTTTCCTTGACTATTCTTAACCCACTGTTTTCTACTTATCTGCTACAAAGTCAAACCAAGATCAGTATTGCAGATAATAATCTCAACTAATCTTGCGAAATGTTTTTGTCCAAAACCAACAATATTGGAAATAAATAAACAACCTTTGAGAAGAGCTGAGGGAAATAAAAAAGGATTAAACTGAGGCAATCACATACGCTTTCTGTTAAGCAAAGTCCACATGTAGTGGCTTCTTACATTCATTACCTCAGCAGACCCAAAAATATTACAATAATATTAGTTTGCCAGGAAATACTTCAGGAACTAAGTACATATTTAATCAGATTCACTGCATCATTAAACATGCCCGTGTCCCATGACATACAACACAGCACCGAGACAGGGAAGTCTAGGGGACCACAGGATCCTGTGTTGCTGATCTCAGAGATGCAGTTCCCTCAAGCAGCATCAACCAAACTAACTCCACCTGATGCACAGGAGAAATCCTACCTCCACCCTTTTTTTTTTCCCCATGACCATGGTATTCCCCCTTCTACCCTCATGATGACAGCTGGCACCAGTTAGCCTGATCAAGGACCTGGCAGAATAACCCCAATTAAAAAAATAAACCAAAGAAATGTAATGCCAGCACAAGGAGGCATTATAGTACACAGCCTTGTAGACACAGGCACTTTAACTTCTTCCTGGGAGCTGTACATTTACAGACATTGTATAAAGCTTACTCTAGTGCCATGGATTTTCCTAACACATGTGTCAGATCTGCTGATCCCATGTGGATGTCTCTGATGCTGACATGGCACTAGGTAGCTGTGACCAGCAGCCATGCTGAGTCCCTCATGTCTAGGGGCTCTTGAAAAGGGATCTTGCTCTTTCACCTCCTGATTGGGTCTGAAGGGACTGAAAAATACTCCCTGAAAAGCAATTCACCTCAGCTTTCCTGGGATGTTTCCAGGCAGATGAGAGCTGGTGAAGTTATGGTCTGTTGTAGAGGCAGAAAATGAAGAGCTCCTCTTCAAACCAAATCAAGAGGATGAAATGGCCTCAGGAAAAGGGGAAGGGAAAGAGCCTCTGAAACTGGGATGATCCGCAGCCAGGAATGGAGGGAGGAATTGGTTTCTGATATTTCCAAAAATTTAAAATGTGAAAATAGGGGTGCACAGAAGAATTTAACTCTTGGGAAAATGAAGGTTGGCAGCAACACATGACCCATAGTTTCTCACTACCTGCTCCAAAGCCTCAACTCAAGTAAATGGAAGCACAGGAAAATCAATCTCACCTGCAGATACCTAAGCAACACTTAAAAATGATTCAGGTCTTCTCAGAAAACTACCAGGCTTAAAACACAGCAATCCTCACATAACCACCCCAAGGAATACTGGAGTAGGGCCGGGATGTTTTGCAAGCAAACTGATAACACCACTGTGACGTGGAGGTGGGTGTCCCCATGCCAAGGGAGTTTCCCATTGCTGCCTTCCTCCAGCAGCTCTGCAAACATTCCCAGTCCCGGGACCCTAACTCCCAAACCCACAGTACCCTTGGCTCCACACTCTTGTCTCCCATAATTGATCCCAGTTCTGGTCCTGGGAAGCACTGCCACCGGCCATCAACAGGTGTCCTGTTGCTCCAGGAACCCGAGCACAGGAATTCACAGGTTTCCTTCCCTCTGAGAATATGGGACTGAGAAATGACTACTGACATCTGGATATCCACCCAGTAGCAAATACAGAATCCAGAAGTTTTTGGGACCTTCCCTGGGCTATAACCTGCTACTAGGCTGCTCGCAGAGAAAGGAAAGCAGTTAGTTGCAAGGCATTTTATGCACAATTTATACCAATACTTTGCATCGTAAAAAAGTGGTTTGCCTCTTATGCAGTGAAAAACAAGAATGTTGAGTATCCTCCTATGCCTCCTTGTTTGTGAAGCAAAAAGCAGGGAAAAGGTAAAGGGTTTAATCAACCTCCAATTCATTTTTATTGTTAGCAGATGCTTTGACTTGCTAGCTCTCAGGGGCTGCTTCCAGTCTCTCTTTTGCAGTTGCCCAAATACATTGTCAGAACTGACAGCAACAGAAACACCGATGACAAAAACCAGTGATGCTCTAGCACAAAACCACACAAAAGAGCACAGCTCTCTGCCCGGTTCTAACTCAGAAAGGACAACTTGGAGCGGGAAGCCAGGGCAGCGTGGGCTGAACAACGAGATGAAGAGGGAGCAGGTGTCAGCAGCAAACAGGCACTGGAAGGGGGCCCTTTGGAGGACAGTGGGGGGAGGCTGAAATGATTACCCTGCTCTCCCCAAGCCCAGGTGTTCCTGGGCCCCAGCATGGTGCTGCACGGCAGGCACTTACCTCGTGTGTGCTGTACCAGGGGCCGGAGAGGGGCCCGCTCCCGGTGCCCGGCCCCGCAAAGGATGTGTTCCAGGATACCCGCTCCGAAACGGGGAGGATGCCCATGTCCCTGCCCTCATGCCCCGGCCACTGGCCATGCCATGCGCTGTCACAGCAGTGGGGCTGGGTGGCTCTGAGGAGAAGCGAGCAGGATAGGGGTGAGGCACTCGCTTCCAGGTGGGGAAAAGGCTGTTGGCGTGGGTCACTCTGCACACAGGCGTGTGCAGCCGAGGGCACCGGCACACGTCAGCTGGGGAGTGACTGCAGCATAGAAGAGAAAGGGGAGCTTGACAGAAGGTTTTGCTGCTCCTTCCCAAGACAAATGCCCCACCCTGCTCTGAAAAGGCAGCCTGGGAAATTAACTCCTTCAAATCAGTGCCTAAATCTGATGGTCAGTTATTAATTCCTCACTGCTACTTTGCAGGGTGTTATAAATGCAGAGGCAGAACCAGAAAATAACTTTTATGAATTTACTGAAATGAGAACAAGCAAAACAAAAAAGAGGTTCGGTACACCGAGGAGCAGGGGGGAATTTCCGCACCGATGGACCCACGACGCTGCATAGATGGATGCACAATGACGAAGCATAAACAAACCCACCACTCTTTATAGTCTTTCTAATACATATTCATAAGATGGGTGTGGTTTAGTCCGCACAGGTGCAGTGGAGTTTCTCGAATCTTCTCAGCTTTTCTGGCGTTGTTGGGGGGGGGTTTTGGTTGTTTTTCCACTCCTTTTCTCGCCAAAAAGAGAGTCCTTCTGACAGGGTTTTTTCCAGTACTTTTCCACATTTGCAATAACTGTCCATATGAGTCTGAATTTACCTGATTAAAAAACCTCCAAACCATTTTAACAATAAAACTACAATAAATCTCTTTCAACTTATGTACATAGCAAAACATCAGCAGCACCCGTGCTCCCCATATTAAAGTCATTATATCTTTAACATGAATCACCACCATATTCTTCACAAGCGGTTGGAAGTTGTTCCCATATGCGTATAGTCACTTTAAATTCTTATTTCTGACATGTATTCTTCACTTATATTTCCTGAGTAGTTTCTTTGCAGACATTTCAGGCAAGGGGTTTGTTCCTAGGCTATGGCTTTATCAATTCAGTCTGTTACTTTTGGTTTGATCACTTAAGCTCTCCTGGGAAGAAAAACAACAACTAAAAAAGCTCCTTAAAAGGACCGTAGGAGCTAGCAAGGTAGGAGCTTGGCAGAATTACATGGGAGACAGAAATAGGTTTCTAGAGAAGCACAGAAAGGAAGAATTAAGCCACTGTGTCTTCAGGCTCTGGGCAAGATTGACTGCTTGCAATCCAGAGATCTCATACTGTACCTTTGAAGTACTGGGCTGTATTAGTTTATCCTGTTTGTCAGCTGGGCTTGAAAATGTCCAGTCCTGACAATTAGTGTAGCAGAAACGGGTCAGCGAGTAATTATTCTACCACCTACTACAGCAGTTTTCTCCTGCTCTTAAGAAGAAGTGGGATTGTTTGCTTAGTTCCAGTGGGACAGGTGGTTCTACTATCAGCAAGATGCATCAGGAGAGAAGAGACCAAGTCAGCAAGCAGGAAAGCAGTCTGGGGACTGGGGTTCCAACAAGCAAGGAGATATGCTACCTCATAGAAATGAGCAGCAGCAAAGTTGACTACAGAGAGAAAAATGAAGATATAGCCCCTCAGTATGATTAACTTGTTCGAAAATGGAAGGAACATACAATTACAGGAAAGAAACTGAAGTTAAATTAATACTCTCCTACTTGACTACATAACCAATGCCTGCATTAACCACAAGGATGTTATTTGAATCCACCTTGAAGATGATACAGGAAAGGCAGAAGCGGCAAGGTGCTGCTGCTTCTGTTAGTGATAACACCCCAAAATACAAAACCTTGCCTTATAACAAGGAATGTTTTGTTCATGTGTGTTACCTAACTTGAAATACCAGTTTCTGTGATCACAGCTCCAGTGAGTCCTTTGTAAATACTAGAGCTAGCTGCAGCCATGTACACATAGGTACACTGGAAAAAAACAGCTCCAATATTTCACGGCTATGTAAATTGCTGCAAACTATTTTTACAACATTGCGTAATTATTCTCCGGATTCTAAGCTTACATTAAAAAAAAAAAAAAAAAAAGTTTCTAGGCAATTTGGGTTATGGTTGAAAAAAAACCCTTTAAAGTAGAACTGAAGTGCAAACTGCTGCAGTGATACTTGCCCAGTCCAGAGAGAGTTGAAACAATAGCTCAGAGGGAAGTGTGAATGGACCCATTCTTCTAACTGGAGCCTAAACTGGAAGTCTGCTGACAATTTAAGTGTCAACATCAGCTACTTCAAGGAAGATCATTTGAGCAGAAACACCATGCTAATGTTCTTATTTGTCATCCTCAATTTGCACTTGTTGTACAGCAGATCCTGGGGCGAAGAGGAAAAGCCGCAACTGGTGTCAAAAGTTGCTGGACCGAGGAAAGTTCTCCCATTCCTCTGCCTCCTTCACCCACAGTAACCTCTGCCCCAGCTCAAAATGGGGAGCAAAGAGGTCAATGCTTCCCCGGGAAGTTGTTTTTGGTAGGCAAAGGCCACAGCAGTCCCCACCAGCCTGCCAGTGACCTCTGCAGTATGGTTCTCTGTTGCCAAAAATGCACAAACTGGTAAGAGATTGAAAACGAGTGTAAGGGGAGTGGGAGGAGAGGAGCAGCCCAAAATATCTCTTGAGGACAGTTGCTGTTGTTTTTCTTCATTCTTGTTGGTTCACTGCCTAAAATACAAATGTGACTGTGGTTTTCTCTTGCATAAGAAAGCTATTGGAACAGGTTTTCTGTAACGTTGTCTACGTGGAGCCCTTGTTGAATTGCTTTTGAGGTTGATCTAACAGTGATGGATTGCTGTTCCGCACACGGTCCAGACATGCCCACTCTGTCTAACCATACCAAGGACTCTTATGGCATCCTTTGTTTATTAAATATCTCTGATTGTCTTGCATGTATAAGAGCCCAAATATACAGGTGAATGTAACATTTTTTTTCCATTATAAGACAGCCCGATTAAGAAAGTAAACATCATTTAAAAAAACTATTTCTGCTCAGCAAAACCAACTCAGTATGTGCAAATGTCCCTATACTGGTGCATTGCTGTTTTCAGGCTGAAAGTGATGCCTAAGGGATTGGCATAAAGGTATTAAAGCCCTTGAGACTGACCCTTAAAATATTCTGAGCAAATGTCCCATAAAATGGAAGCAGAAGATGGGATTTGCAGGCGTTTTGACTGAGAACATTACTTCCAGTTTTCAGTGCTGCGTGACTGTGCTGCAAGCTTTTGCCTAAAGCCGAGTTCTGTTCGAGGGTCCCTCAAAAGCAGGGTGGGCCAGGAGAACAGGCTGGAGCCACTTCAAAACCATGGAAATATGAGATGTTTTCAGTGGGCACCACAATACATTAGCAAAACTGCACAGCAGAGATCTGGCACCAGAATCAGGGTCACATGAGTGGGCACATATTCAGAATGCAGTATTGTATGATTCCCTGCACATGTATTTTTGGTTGTTGTTCTTGTTGTACTGTGGGGAATCTGGGGTAGCCCAAAAAATACCTCAGGGAAAGTATTGTCAGAAAGGTGACCTGACTTGCTATTGCTGTCTCTGTCTTTACACCCAGGCAAAGGCAACAGAGGAAAGGCAATAGGTTTGTGCCTGGCTGTGGTGGCTGACCCACATCAGAATCAGGACAGGACTGATTCTCGTCCTACTGGGTAGCACATAGCACCTGTGAAGATGGAGTGGATGCTGCTTGAGTGGGTTTGCTAGAAAAGCTCAAGGTTGATTAAACTGAGTAATCTGCAGGGTGGCAATCTTTGACTCTTCCCATTATATTGCCAGTCATTTTGGGGTAGAAGAGAAGGGGCTACACAGCCTGACAAATGACATCCACCTTCTCTAGTGGTTCCCATCAGGCTCTTAACAGATAGGATTACTTCTAAGCAATGGAGACACAAGAGACTATTGTGGGTTTTAATTGCATGTATTCCCTTACTTTGATGATGTATTTCTATCTGCTATTCTTTGACCAAGCACAGGTCTCTGTTAAAAGAAGATAATATTCCTCTGTTGAGTCACAAGGCTTTAGAGACTGCAATGAGTGCTTTGTCAGCCTCAGGTTCAGATGATCTCAGACAGTGCTTGATCCATGTGTCTCCCTGAATTCTGGCTTGTCTGATATTGGGACCACATAAACCAACAGAGGCATTATGCAGGTTCCTACCTCTAGTTGCTTTAGCCTCTTGAAGTCATCCATGGGTAGCCTAATCTGGCACCAGGGTCACTTCAATTCAAATACTCAGTGCATTTGGGTGTTTGAAGAGGAAACAAGAGGGCCTTTTGTGTTTGTTTGCCCATGTCCTATCACTTCTCTGAGTTTACACTTTGTCACTGTAGATGAACCACATTCTTAGCTGAGAAGAGTCCATATTCTTGACTACTGGGCTCTGGTCAGAGTTACCAAGACTCCCTATACCAGAAAATGAAAGGTTATGGTTTCCTCCTCTGCCAAACAGGAAAATAGCCCTTCCTTCAGGGTACCTAGGTGTTCCTACCAGCATCTGCTCTCCATTGTGAGAATAGAGCCCAGGTGATGGGAAGTTCACTGCTGAGATAGATGGTCCCAACTCGGTGATACAGGAGAAAGTTAAAGAACTTACTTTAATCTGCTGCTCAGAGGACATAGCTGCTACTGTCAGATTAGTGCAAAAAGTGCTAAATTTGTGCAGGATGATCAGATATGTTTCTGAGTTAAATGTCTACAAGCAGACTTTTGCTGGGTCAGTTCATGTGTGTAAGGCCATACCTGAAGACCTGAACCTGTGAGCTGGGGAATCTGCCTGGGGTGGGTTGCAGGCAGGGTATACTGTGTAGTGTTAGCACAGGACAACTTGTGGAAGATGTGTACAGACAGTCTGTTGATTTTTACAAGCAACTTTCATCTCCCTTCCCCCAGCAGCTTTACAAGTCCATGGTGCAAGTATGTACTACTCCATATGCTATCAATTACAGTCTTGACTGGAAGTTGCTTTCTGTCTTGAAGTCTACAAATGTACGAAAAACAGGAGTCCTGGAATCAAGATGTACATTACGGACCTTGGAGAAGGATTTTGTCTTTCCTTTCAGGATGATGGATCACTGTGAGATTTGCAGAATTCGGACATTTTCATTTTTGCCTTTTAGACCCTACTAATTTAGACTTAATCCTGATATTTTTAAAATCAATGGCAAAGTTCCCATTGACTTCAAAAGAGACGGCCTGAGCTCTCAGTTTAA